CCTCGCTTCCTGATGCAGGAACGTCCTCATCCTCCTCGAAGTTCAGATCTAGCCGCGGTTGGTTTGGGTGGGCCATACCGCCCTCGGTTTCTTCATAGACCAAAGTCGTTTCCGCATCGGATTCTGTATCAGGGTGGTCGGTTTCGACCACTTGAGGCTCTGTCGCAGCGGCCTCATCCTTTTCTTCTGTGGGTGACGCATCTCCAATAATCTCCTTTTCAACAATCACCGGCACGTCGGCCACTTCGGGCTCCTCCTCGAGCGTCTCGGGGGCAGAGATGCGCATCTCCCGCAACTTATTTGTTACAACGTTGTCTTCCTCGTCAGCCTCCACCACTGTCGTCACAGCACTGCCAACGGAGGGACTCGCCCTGACATGACGTCTCGTAGCAGTACGGCCAACAGGCTGAAAGTTGTCGTCTTCGCTCTGTCCGAGGCTCTCACGGTGGCTGGGCTTCACAATGGACATTGGAAGCGGCTTCTTATCACCACCGTTGGCATCAGGCACCGCCGTTGCCGTCTCCAGGCCCTCGGCCTCAGGTGGGAGCTTGTAGTTCTCGGCGGGGAGGAGGTCGTACATGTCGCATACGGTCTTGAAGAAGACGTACAGTCCAGTTTGGCCCTCAATGGTCCAGAAGACAGCGCGGTGCTGGAACCAGGCGTGCGCGAAGATGCGATGCAAGCGGCGGAAGACGTTGACGAGGTTCTTGACGGCGACACCCTTGTTGTGGACGTCGGAGAGGACGACGAAGCGCGAGGGGAAGATTTTGGGGTCCGTAACGATGTTGGCGGCCCAGTCGAGCGTGTGGCAGCAGTAGTCAATGGCGCAGCAGCTCTTGGGCTGCTCGTGGACGGCACAGAGGAACTGCCACTCTGACGCGCGCATCTCGGGACACGTCGCCGCGCTACAGGGTGGGGAGTCGAAGAGGAAGCCGACAATGAGGGTGTTGCATTGCGAGATGAGGAAGCGACACAGTTCGTACAGCCAGAGAGTGCGGTCGATGCCCGGCGGGGGCGTTGCCAGCTGGATTGCGGTTGTACGGGTTATCGGGACGCTGTTGCTCTTTGTGTGGTGGTAGTGGAGGGCGGCGAGATGCTCCTGGAGCTGGAAGGCCGAGTCGAGCTGTGCAAAAGGGTTTTGTAAGCGGCAGAATCGCATGGTTAAATCTGGCTGTTCACAGGGACGTTGCTACGAACCTCATTAAGGGGGATAAGCGGCGGTCCAGCAGCCATGTCGGCGGCCTTCGTTCCCGGGTGTATGCGACGCCTCGAGTTAGCTTCAATGAGAGACTGCTCCATCGGCGAGGCTTCGCGATTCGATTGCGCACCCGTGGAAGGGGACTTGGGACCGATTTGGATCTCAGCGGGCGGGGGCGGACTGGGCAGCCGGGGCGAGCTCGGCGCCATTGCCATTGTGAAAGGAGGTGACGGAGTGGTTGTGGTGTGGGATGGTATGGTATCGGGGGGTGGTCTCCGTGATGAAGACGATGTAGGAGAGGACGAGCGACTGGAGAGTATTTTGCAACCGCGGTTCAAGAGCTGTTGTGTTCCCCCCTTACGCCTCCAGAATTCGCGGTCACAGACTGTCGTAGATGTGTTGGTATGTCGTGGATGGGTTGTGTTGTTCTAGCTGGGCGAAAAGTCGTGGTCGGGCGGCTAATCAAGAGCTCCAGGTCACCCACATCGAATGAAAGCGCTTTGGGGCCAGAGCTCCTGGTGCTGCCGTGTCGCTGCTGTTACAACCCCGGCACACCCTGGCTCAGCTTAGTCAGGAAGTCCTCCCCGGCCACTGACGGTCGTGTGTCCTTCTTTCCATTTTTTTTTTGGGTGAGTGTGAGTGCCGGCGTGTGGGACCAGACGACGTCAAATAGGTACGTACTCCAAGCCTCGAATACTACTTCTTTCGTGCCTGGGAACTTTCTTCGCTTGATAAGTCAGTTGAAGGGCGTATTCTTCACTGAGAACTCTCTCTCAACTCTACAGCTTTTTTCCAAGACTAAAGAAATTCAGTCACTTGCAAGGCACTCGCTGCTTTCTTCCATTCGCCTCTTAAGCTGCAAAGAATTGGTCTGAGCTCTCTCGCAGGGTTCCCCTCCATCCTAGCATGGATTTCGACGATGATGCCCCGCCTGATCTGGTAGAGGCCGGAACCGTTGTTGAGGATGATCTGCCACCATCGGAGAGCCAGATCAAGGTCCCGATCACCATCGTAACGGGTTACCTCGGTGCTGGGAAGACGACGCTGCTCAACTACATCTTGACGGCACAACATGGAAAGAAGATTGCCGTGATTATGAACGGTAAGCCGATCGCATGATCAAATGTGTAGCGGGGCATTATACTGATGTTATTCGCAGAGTTTGGCGACTGTTGGTTTCCTCGGATGTAACCACCCACTTGAACCCACTGACGCTTTTCAGCTCTCGATATCGAAAAGTCGCTCACTGTCAACAAAGGTGACGAGCAAGTTGAGGAGTGGCTTGAAGTCGGCAACGGCTGCATATGCTGCTCCGTAAAGTAGGAACACCCCATCAACTAATCGCATTTGTATTAACACGCTCAGGGACACTGGTGTCAACGCCATCGAGTCGCTCATGGAGAAGAAGGGCGCGTTCGATTACATTTTGCTAGAGACCACAGGTCTTGCGGACCCTGGCAACCTTGCGCCCCTGTTCTGGGTCGACGATGGCCTAGGAAGCACAATCTACTTGGACGGTATCGTGACTCTGGTAGATGCGAAGAACATTCTTCGCAGCCTTGATGACCCCGCCGGCGAGATTGAGATCGACGAAGATCACAAAGAGGATGACGGCCATAGTCACGGTCCGCTCATGACGACGGCTCACGTCCAGATCTCACATGCTGATGTCATCGTCATCAATAAGTCGGATCTGATTTCCGAAGAAGAGTTAGGGCAGATCAGATCGAGGATAGAGTCTATCAATGGACTCGCCAAGATACACGTCACCAAGCAGAGCGAGGTGCCGAGATTGGAGGGGTTCTTGCTGGATTTGCATGCCTATGACCAGGTCACGGAGCTCGATACCAGCCAAAAGGGCCACAGCCATCTAGATTCGGTGAGTGATTCCACGAAAGTCGCAGCATTTCTCTTTTGCTGATAAAGTGTAGACCATTTCGACCGTCTCGATACCAGTGCCAAAGTTGGCACCCTCACAACTGGAGAAGATCGATTGGTGGTTGAGAAAGATCCTCTGGGACCGTAAGCTTCCTGGGGACGAAAAGACGACGCTTGAGGTCCATCGGTCAAAGGGTCGGCTCGTCTTTAACAACGGCGATATCAAACTCATCCAGGGCGTGAGGGAGATATTCGAGATTCTTGACTCGCCTGACCAATCGCGCGAGGCTACGCAAGCTCAGGGAGGTAAGATCATTCTCATTGGAAGGCATCTCAAGGGCGTCGACTTCGAGAAGAGCTTGGTGGATACAATCAACTCGAGCATATGAATAGAACTTCTGAGACACGATGCGTTGTTCTGGGCGCGTGATCATTGAGACATCGACTGCAAGGCGTGCAGAAAATAGCTTTCAGAGACGGCAGCGCAAGTGACTTTGTAGCAAGAGAGCGAGTGCCTCGGCTGGTGGAAAGCATCAAGCCAATGCATGCTGGAAGCTGCCATCTCATGTGTTGAGAGGGACATGATGTCAAAAAAAGGCCCCAGATGAATGTACGGCAGTAGCGCGTGTTCGCACTGATGCAGGGGTTTTTTGGAGGGGCTCTGGGCGCACAGGCCATCGGATCCATCTTTGACCGGTCCTCCGCGCGTTAGTGTTGGCTGGGCTTCGACGTCTGTACACTGTACACCAGGAATCCGCATAGAGCTTCCTTCGTGTGTGCAAGCTTCGAGCCAGAATAATCTTTCGAGCCACCTCGACCACGAACGCATCCTAATTGACCCTCGAACTCCCCGCGACGACGAACCATACGACGCGACTCCCGAAAGCGACCGTACACTCCCCGAGCCTTCATCATGAATCGACCAGGTAGGCCTGACCCTCTAGTCGTCCCCTTTCAGCCTCGGGGTACCCCGCCGTTTGTATGTCCATCAAGGCCACTTGGATCTCGTCGCACCTCTCAATTGTGGTCGCCGCGCCTCTATATTGTCGAGAAACCTTGAGGAGCATCGAAACCATGCACGCGAAACGTCACGCCACCGATGATACTCTCAGTAGATCGTTGCCACTGTTAGCGCCGACATGTAGCCCTCACCCTCGAGATCCAGCGCTGATACACCTCGACGTAAACACGGCCTTTGGATGGACAATAATGGACCCCTCGTACACACGCTACTCTTGAAGATGATGGCTTCGAGCCTCGCTACTCTTAGGCGACACTATGCAAGACCTCCAAGCTGACAATGGGCGCAACCAGTAGGAGTAGCTCCTCAATCACTGCGTGGCATACCGGCAGGTTTTGGTGGCCAACAGCAGCAGCAACAACAACAGCAACAACAACAAGCTGGGAGGGCAGTATCAAACAGGTTACCAAATGGGAAAATAGGTAGGAACACTCAGCTCTGTCTCCATATGTGTGGTGTGATTGGGTACAAAGGCGGTGCCTGTGGGAAGACCTGATGTTGACGTGGAATATCTTGGAATTATACAGGCAGTAATGGATCTGGCTGGGCATTTGGAGGAGGAGTACCCATGGGAGGTGCTGGCTTGCCAAATCAAGCCCGTCAACTTGGAGGAAATGTGAGCTTTGCACAGAGCTTAAGCGGGTCGCAACCGGCAACGCCGCTGGACCTTTCGTACGTTCTTTCCTCTTTCCTCTCTCACCGGCTACCCTGCACATCCACCTACCGCTTTCCCCACGATCACCACCCAAAGTAGTAGCACCAGCCGCATTCCGAGCTTCACGGCCAGCCGCACTTTGGTCTTTCTACTTTTCTCAGGTCTCTCTAGCTCTTGTCTCTTCTCTTCCTTTCATCATGGGCAAAAGGCAACGTCTTGTCCGAAAGAAAGCAGCGAGACAAGAAAAGATGGATAAAGCATCGTCTTCTTCGCCTCGCGAGAAGCCCAAAAAGGGCTACGCGGATGTCCTAAAGACGTATTTTTATTCTTCCCCTTCCTCTCCTTCCTCATCACTGCGTCTGGCGCGATCGCGGGCGACTGCTTCACCCATCATTTCTAGCACTGATAGTGGTACTGACTTCTGAAGTAGCGAATTTCCATCTCTCTCCAACAACGCCCAGATGAACACCACCGGTCAGTCAAACATGTGGTCATCAACAGCGTCGCGGAACCTGGGTGCTGGCCCAGTGCCACGCAACCAGCAGTCGACGCCACTGTCGGCTCAGAGCGGCCAGGATGAGCTCTTCACGCCAACTTCGGCTCGCCAAGGCGCCTTTCGCTTCGGTGGTCAGAGCAGCGCAGGTCCGGCGCCTCAAGCACAGTCTAATCCTGTGGACGATTTTCCGCCCTTGAACAGAAACTCGAACGGCGAAATCGGTGGTGAGCGAAGTGCTAACCTAATGCCCTCTTTGGGTTTCGGTGGCAGCCAGGCGAGCGGCTCAACCGCCGCGATACCTCCTGCCCGAAGCGCAGGTGCCGGCAACGGTCTTCTCAATGCGCTCTCCGCGAATAGCAGAACTTCAGATGGTCGCTCACCTTCCATCGCTAGCGTGCAAGGTATATCGAACCCACCTCATTGGACGACAACACACTCACTGACGCGATATAGATCAAACAAGAATACAAGAGGCATCTGTCGAAAGAGGCAACTCTTTCTCTGAAGAGAATGGTGGCGACAGCGCTTCTCAGTCCGCAGAGACCAGAAACCCCCCCGGCGCCATTGGCAACGACGCAGTCACAGGCAATGGCAAGGCCAAAGAGGAGAAGGAAGGCCAATCGCCCGACGTGCAGGACCCTCTGGCGGGAATGGCGCCCATTGACAAATTCGGCATGAAGGGTTTACGTGTTCTCATGAACAACTACCCCAGCTATGGCGCCCTGATGCAGGGAATGGATCCCAACGAGTTCGGACTCAACGTTAACTCACCAGAGTAAGCATTCTGACTATTTACAAAGAAACACATACTGACCATGACAGTCTCATCTCTACGCAGATTTACTCTCTCTTCGACGACACGCCTCCGCGTCCCGCGATTCCCAGCGTCCGGCTTCCTGAGTGTTACAAGGTGACCAATGTGCAACCGATTGAGACCAAGATCCCGTCGTTCAACGAGGAGACCCTATTCTGGATCTTCTACAGCTGTACCCAGGACGTCAAGCAACAATTGGCTGCGGTTGAGTTGTATGTATTTCTTACACCCAAGGTGGCCACTGCTAACAACCTTGCAGGCACAGCCGGAACTGGCGTTGGCACAAGAAGCTGCATTTCTGGTTGACCAAGGACGAGCTCATGATGCCCGCTAGCCTTGGTCCCCACCATGAACGCGGCTACTACATCGTCTGGGATACCACCAACTGGCGCAAGGAGCGGGTACGTCTTGGGTTTCTCTCTTCCAGATATTGAGCGCAAATGACTAATCTTGAATACAGAGAGAACTCACCCTCCACTACGGTGACCTGGAGACGAATCTGGCACAACCGGTTGCATAGTTGAATTGGGGTTTATGGTTCATTGGCTTTCTCGTTTCATTGACGAGGCTGGAAACGACTTGGTACCTGGGCACTGGGCATGAGACCCGACAGGCGTTGAGTCATGTTGATACGGCATGGTTTTACAGGCTTCCGGTATGAAGCTGGCCAGGCAAATGGCTGCCGCTGCATATTTGCTGCTGCTTTGTGTGTATGAATCACTGATCAATGGGAGTTACCCACGGCCGTCAAACGAAGGGAAATAAAATGACGACGCCGATGCTGCGAACGAGAACTGTCTTCTGTTTCCGTGCTTCCAATTATGCGTGATGTTACCTTTTGGACGTCGGAAGCGCTTGGTATAGTAAGAGATATCTCCTCTGCACCATTATTTGAAGGTATCCTTACGGAGAAAGGTACTCAGATACCTTTGGGAGCTTGAGTTTGGTAGTTGTTTGGGCGGTCCGTGCTCAACTTCCTCACATGGGAAAGCGCGGGTAACTCCGACTGCGCGCCACTGTCCACATAAGCTCCAAACCCCTGCTCCCTGAGGAGGGCTGATGAACTCATCAACTCCATAAAAGCTACCAGCGGGACTGCACGCATCTCATCCGACCACATCCCTATCCCACGCGCAGCGGCCATACGCTCCTCCGACTCTCTTTATTTGTGTTGCAATCTCCATGAGGCCTACACCGCTCCAAGCTTCCAACCGCCACTTCTGATAGCGAGAGCCCGCAAACACTCCGGCCTTCCGCCAAACCAACGACTTCCACCGGCCAGAGCGGCACGACGCAGACACAGAATCCGTTGCCATGGCAAACGAGCAGATCTCGCTGCCGTATCTGGTGATGATACTGCTGGTTACGGCATTCGTGATACGGTTCCTGTTCTTTTCGCCCGCCCCGCCACCGGCGCCGCGACAGAGCGCTGCAGCGGTACTACGTACGCGCGAGGCAGCCGTGGAGAGGATACAGCAGATGTTCCCGCAAGTAGACAGACGAACGATTCTTTGGGATTTGCAGAGAAACGGCGGAAATATCCAGGCGACGTCTGAGAGGATCCTCGCAGGACGGATGGAAGCTGTGAGTCTGAATCCTTGCCTTTCCCAACTTCATCTCGGGCGAAAGCTCGTTGTGCCGAGTACGCGCGCGCCGGCGACAACATCATGGCTGGGAGCCACTATGCCCCACGATACACGGATCACTTTCTCCTAATGTAGCGCACTTCTTTTTTGCTGACCTTGGTACGTGTCGTCGAACAGCCTCCAATCACTTTCCAGCCCCCTCCCCCGCCGGGAGCGAATAACGCAGCGTCCAGCTCCTCGACACCGGCCAAGGCGCCCGAGAAGCCCACACAGCCGGACCTGATTACGAGGTACAAGCTCCAAGATAAGATCTCGGCGCAGCAACAGCGGCAAGCGGAAGCGGACGCCGCCGCCGTCGCGGAGAAGGAGAAGGAGAAGGCGGCCAAGGGGTGGAGCTCGAACAGGGACGAGAGGCAGTCGCTGTTGCAGAAGCGGAGGGACGAAATGATTCTTGCGGCGCGGCGGAAGATGGAGGCTAAGATTGCTGCTGAGAAGGCGGCATAAGGTAGCCTTGGATTGAGACGAAATGGGATGGGCCTTTCACAGCGCATTGTTCTCTTGATTGTTGAAGGCATGGGAAGAGATTGGGCGGGGTATGTGCATTTGGGAATTCTGTACACTCACACTCACATACATACTCGTACAGAAACAGCCGAGAACGAAGAACTCTTCGGCTTCAGTCTAGTTTGGAGGAGGATGGATGAGGATATAATGGCACATATTTCTTATGCCTCCAACGCTGTGGGGAAGCCTACCTGGCCTTACACTACTTTGGCACATGTTACTTTTCTCCTCGGAACCGTGGGCTTAGCTGGCTGATGGCGCGATGTGGATCTGGCTTGACTACCTTACCTCATGCAGTGAGAATATGCGTTGAGAAGAAGGACCCTGATGAGTCGGTTCGAGCTTGATAAGCACGTGCTGCGGTTGAACGGGGCGGTTTGAACTTGGTCGAGATAAGATCCTAAGGGCACGCCACTCCGGTAGTTGTCACAAGTAAGGAAACGGAGAGCGGGAGACCCAGGCGCCGTTGGTATAAGTGCAATCGTATAAGTGTCGCCCATCTTCATGAGGGGTTTGGTTCATCGGGTCTGAATGACACGAGCTTGACGTCTCCTGTGGGCTTGACTCGTTCGTTTTGTTTGGCGCTTATTCAAATTCACCACCAGGAAAGTTTGGAGTGGTTTATCGCGTTTCGTCAGTGATGTTTATACAAGAGGGAAGTCATGACATGCTGTGAGAGATATGTATGTGGAGCTTATGTAGTGACTACGGGACGGAGGTGGTAGGTTGTTCTCGTCATTATCACAACTACTCGATTTCATTCGAGCAGAATGTTCGTCACCACGGTTGTTTGTCTGCCTTGGCATCACGTTGCAGACGCAGCGCATGTGATCGAGGCTCTCTCACTCTCACTCGGCCGAGCCGCATGATAGTGGTTTGTGTGACCGGACAGACTGTCTCGCCTCGAGGAGAGGGGGGGGGGGGGGGCAACGGCCATGAAATCTTGTCTTACATGCGTGTTGGCTCCAGATGCAACGATGGGTGGCAACATGCGCGTTACATTACCATTTTAACAAAAGAAGTCTCGCCTCGAATAGTCTCTTATCTCGACGGCAAAGTCCTTCTCATGCTGCTGGACTGAAGACCTGAACGAGCCAACGTTTTCATGGGTCCAGGCTTTCCTCCCGTCTCCCCAAGTCGGGTGGGAAAAAAGCACGGGACGATTTGAGAATGACTCGGGAGAACGACCCGTTCCTCGGACTTAAATTCCTGAGAGACACGTGGGGGTTCTGTTCCGCTGAGATTCGTGGACCGTGAAAGAGTCGGATAACAACATGGAATGCATGTTTAGGTGGCTTCGAGGCAAAGAAAAGAGACTGAGACGTGGGCGCAACATGGTACAGGCGTGTAGGTAGTCAGAGGTGAGACTTGGGCCTGGGCCGCGGGCCAATCTTTATCGTTCTTCATCGATTGCGTGAGTTGTCGTAATACAGCAGCACGGGGGCCCGTCACACTGATGATTGTCTTGTTTGCGAAATGTCACATCTCGTCATTTGTTTCCTGGGTTACCCAGATTAGGCATGCCGTCGGTATTGCCCACTTTAGGTAAGATAAGGCAATTCTCCGACTGGTCTCGTTCGACTGATAAGAAGAGGTTGTTGGAAATTCAAACTCGGGATGACAAGACCCCTCTCTTTACGCCGCATTTTGATCAAAAACAATCCGAGGTTTTGCTACTATGTAACAGCAGGAGGAGTAGGAGGGAAGTTAGCGCCAGTGTCAATGAGACAGAGGCAAGTTTCTCATTACTGAGGTGTGAAAGAATGCGGTTCATCTTGTAGTTGAAATGGTGAGTGAGAGAGTTGTGGGAGGGCGTGGAGGGGTTCAAGGAGGGGTACATGGCTCGGGATGCTACAGCCCAGTGTCCGTACCAAGATTTGGCGGCGTGTTCTGACGGCTGGATCTCACTTGCTGTACGAGTCTGGTTTCTTTCTATTCTTTTCTTCGGGGGTGGGTTTCTCCTCCCATTCCGTTTTTCTCGTTCCTGTCTAGCGCCACCAAGTCTTTGGCTTGGAGATTGTAGACGTTGTGTCACTGAATGTCACTCCTAACCGGAGGCTTCTTTCTGCCGATCTCATGCGACGCTCGTTCAACCGTTGAATCAGCCCCCCCTACAACGGGGTAAACGGGTTCAAGATAATGTCCCGCAGAAAGATGCAGCGTGACACAGCCAGGGCTCGCGACATGGCGACTTGATGGCCTGTAATCCTTTCAACTGCACGCGCTGCTCTGCTGCGATATCTACACAGTGCTGTGTGAGAGGCTATGAATGCCAGGAGCCTCTTGACACTGGACCCTTGTAACACTTAGCGTCCTAATTGCGCGCATGTACCTGGGGTGGGGACCCTCGAAAGACTCAGAGAGTGAGTGTGCGTGTGAGAGACAGGGCGTATCCGTAGACTACCGCGTGAGGGCTACCTCTTCATGCATTCGCTGCATTGGCGCCATGTGTTTTGTGGGTGGCTATGGGCATGGGAGCATGGATGGATCAGATAGAGAAAGACAAGACCGATAGAGAGCCCCGCTTCGACCCAACATTTCTGTCTTTCACATGCTTTTTGGACTGGCTGACTCGACTGCAAGTCCCTCCCCGTGGGGCCCGCCTTCACCGCAGGACATATCCACTGCCACAGACGAGGAAACGAAGAAGAAAAACAGGGCGAACGAATCTGCGATAATTAGCATGGGGCAAAGAAGGAAGAAAAATACTGCAAAAGGCTGTTTGGGCATGGTCAGCTAAGATGGGAGGCGGGAGGGGGGGGGGGCCTTTGTGTTAAGTCACTGTATCATGGTTCGACCAGCATGTTGCGCAGTTCTGCTACGCAATACGGTGCGACGCGCATAGTACGTAACAAAGACATGAGGACTTCAAAGTACCTTTTTCATCGTTATCCGTACCTTGCCGTTCTCCGACTCTGCATTTGACAGCCAAGGTTCCGTGCTTGCAGAGACTCGAGAAGTAGAGAGACGTATTATCTCCCAAAACATGAGGTAAACTTTGCCTCATCTGACGGGACTTTCTTTTCCACTTCGTATCAGACTATCTGCGAGCCGGCCACCGCCGATTCGATCCATCCGCCCATCAGATTTCCCGCCCCCTACCCGCCTCAGCGGGAACGACTACCAAAGAAAGAAGATGCAAACCGGGGGCAGAAACAGGTCATTCACCACTCCCAACCGATACACTCCATCTGCCCCTCCACTTGCAGGTTCTTTCGCTTCTTAGTCGAGACTCCAAAGTACCTACTACTACCTTGCTCTACTAGGTACTGCACTCCGTGACTGGCCTTGCTTGACCTTGCCTCTTCTCTTAAACCTTTCCCCCCCCCTCCCCCTTCGCTTTCTTTGTCTCACCTTGGATTTTGCAACTCGCTCAAAGAAGCTTCAAACCCACTGATTATCCTAGGACTCGACCTGGATCAGCCAAACAATTTTTAATTTTTTTTTTTGGCCAATTCATCTTCGTCGTCTTCCTCTGCGTAGCATCCTACCTATCTTAGACTCAAAAATTCCAACCACTCTCACTTGCGTACGACCGTTGCCGCAAGCACATCTGAACGTGGGATTTACAACAAGCGGGGCACTCTCTTATCAACACTTTTTCTCGACAACATTCCCTCAGTCGCAAAGCAACGGGCGCTTGGGCTAGATCTCGACGTTCTTGGTCCGTAACATTCCTTCACTGGCGACAACGCCCTACGCCCTCGCCATCACAAGCCTGGGACTTACCAGAATAGCAGACCGAGAACAGACCGCCACGCCATCTCACCGAATTCCCCGACAACCATAGATTGTCAACACAAGCGGACGGACGGACGGTAGCGACTTACCCCCCTTCCTTCGCCTTCCTCCCGCTCAAGAGGGGAATAATAAAAACACAATGCCCCCCTTGCGGCCCTGGGGTCCCATTTTCGAAGAGATTACTCTCCCGCAGAATAGAATGTCATCGACGGTCTTCTCCATGCTGCCAACATCTCTTCAGTCCCGGCTACCGCCGCTGCGGTCTATCCGCAAGAGCGCAAGCATGCAAACCCTCACCTCGAGCAGGCAATCACACACCCGCACCCTGTCGGGACTCGACGACGGCGTCCACAGAAATATCACGCAGGCGCGCCTCGTCTCCGAGAGCACGGAAGAGCAGCACATGAGCTTGGTGGCCACAGAGCATCGGACGTATGAGGTGCGATCGGCGGCCGAGAAGCATGAGCAGCAGCGGCAACAAACGGAACAGTATTATCAGCAACAGCAACAGCAAGCGTCTAGCCAATATTCAAACGTAGATTGGCGCTTCGCTCAGCAAGGTGAGAGCCGTTGTGATATTGGTTGATGCCTCCGACTTACCTTTTGCTCCGCAGGACTTGCTTTGATCGCCGTCGCCCAAGATGAGTTGAGGCATCCCTCAAGGCGGCCGGCAGCCGATTTTGAGAGGAAAGCGTTTCTCGACGGCGTCGAGTACATCCTCAAGGCCCTTCCTAGCGACCTAAACGAACACGAGCTTCACCGACTCCGCACGTCGACACCCTCCAATTTCATCCCACCACCAAGTCCAGGCGGCCGGGCATATTCTCCGTCGCGGGGTGCGAACAACGGCAGATCGATTCTTCACCGGGGCGTCCAAATCGCAGTCGTCAACATCTTCATCCTCATCCACCTGGCGCTGCCGTACATCATCCTCATGCTGCGGTTAGCGGCCCGCACGGAGAGGGAGTACCGCATATCGGAGAACCTTGTGGGTGCGGGCATGGGTCTCGCCAACGCGATCGGCAGCAAGGAAATGCGCATAACCGGGGCGCTGTACAACGTTGGCGACGGCAGGCTCGGGCAGGCTCTCACAGAGGCCGTTGCCTGGACGGTTGAGGGCCTCACGGGAGGTCTATCCGATGGTGTCGGTGAGGGCCTGTCCATCGTGGCGCCCAAGAGACAATGAGATGACCGACATG